CAAAAAAAAAAAAAAAAGAAAATGTAAGTTGATTAAGGTCTTGAAAAGTAGATCCCCTTATGGGGTACACACTGAGTTCCCAAAAGACGAAAATGTGTGTTCTACAAGAGGGATTCAGTTTACATTGCATGGAGTTGAATATAGAGGAAAACATTCCCTATAAGACAAGAACCATAGATAAGAAAATACACAATGAGTTTGGGGAACAGCAAATAGCTCTATATAAATAGAGAGAAGTCTTCATGTGTCACAATGGTGGTTATAGGAAAAATAGGTTGATCAGACAAGCATGAATTTTTTTACTTTAAGTACAAGTAAAGGTAATCACATGTATAACTAAACTTTTTTTTTTAGGATCTGTACTGCAGGATAATTAAAAAAATAAGAGAAAAAGTTGTTGACAGAATGATTTTACCTTATAAATAAGGAAGTTAGGGCAAGATAGCCAAATAGACACCTCCAGCAGTCATCCTTCTGCATGAACACCTGATTCAACAACTATCCACACAAGTAAGCACCTTCAGAAGATCCAAAAATTAGGTGAGCGGTCAAACTACCTGGTTTTAACATTGTATCAAGGAAAGAGGCACTGAAGAGGGCAGAAAGACAGGCTTCTATTTCCTACACCATGCTCCCCATCCCCTGGCAGTGCACTAGCGAACCAACTGGAGAGAAAATTTCATGTGCCAGGTGGGGGGAAGGAGAGTGAAATGGGTGTGGGGCTTTGCATTGAAACTTAGGGCCTGGCAGCGTCTATAGCTCAATGGATACAGCACCAGCAACATTCACAGAGGCTGGTGGGTTCGAACCTGGCCCAGGGCCAGCTGAAACAATGACAATTGCAACACAAAATATAGCTGGGCATTGTGGCAGGCACCTTGGTCCCAGCTACTTGGGAGGCTGAGGCAAGAGAATTGCTTAGGCTCTAGAGTTTGAGGTTGCTGTGAGCTGTGATGCCACGGCACTCCTCTACCCAAGGCCAGCTTGAGACTCTGTCTCAAAATAAAAAAAGAAAAAGAAACTCAGGGCCACCCCTTAGCACTGAGGAACACAGAATAATTCGGGTGGTGCCCATGGAAGGAGCACCTTAACCAGCCTGCCCACAGGGAAATCTTCTGGCTCAAGGCCCAAGTTCCTGCTAGCCTCACTACCAGCAGAAAAGAGCAGCCTGAGGCCTGGACTAAATTTGAGTCTGGCCACAGCCACTGCAGTCCTTGGGCAATTCCTGGGGCTGTGCTAGATGGGAGCCAGTGGACTTGGGGTGCACACTACCCAGTAAGATAACAGCTGTGACCAAGCCAGTGCCTGTGTCACCCTCCCAGAACTACAGTGCAACTCAGGGAGATTCTTCTTCCAGGTGAAGAAAGTAAAGAGTACAGAGGGTTTTACAACATAGGTACCAACTCAGCTACAGTAAAATAACCTACTCAGTCCAAGCTTAGGCCCTAAATGGCATTTCTGGACCTCCCATGGGCCATAAGAAAACAAGCTGCTTTGAAGGGAAGAAATCAGTCCTTGCAGGATTCATTACCTGCTAACTGAAGAGCCTGCAGGCTTTGAATAAACAAACATCACACAGGTAATCAGGCAATGGTCACCACCAGCTTTGGGTGTGACCTGGCATTGGTGGCCATGAGTGAGTGTCCATGTCACTTCTCCCCCAACAGACTAGCACAGATGAGATAGTTTGCCTGGTAATCCAGGGAATTCTCCTGTATCTTACCCAAGCTCACCAAAGTGGTACCACCAGAAGTCTGCAAGAGTCACACCATTAAGTGGGTTTGAGGCACCCCCAATGCTGATATAGCTGAAGTGACCAGAGACTTAGACCACAACACTCAATTCCCCTTGAATATCTGGAAAGTCTTCTCAAGAAAGACAGGTTCAAACAAGCCCAGACTGTGAAGATTAAAATAAATACCTAACTCTGATAGGTATTTGACAAACCTCTAGACATTAACAAACATCCGCAAGCATCAAGATCCAGGAAGACATGAGCTCACCAAATGAACTAAATAAGGTCCCAGAGGCCAATCCAGAGTGATGGAGATAGGTGATCTTTCAGACAAAGCTGTCCTGACAAGCTCAATGAACTTCAAGACAACACAGGAAGAAATTCAGAAGCCTATCAGAGAAAAAAATTTTTTTTTGTAGAGACAGAATCTCACTTTGTAGCCCTCTGTAGAGTGCCATGGCATCACATAGCTCACAGCAATCTCCAACTCCTGGGCTTAGGCGATTCTCCTGCCTCAGCCTCCCGAGTAGCTGGGACCACAGGCGCCCACCACAACACCCAGCCATTTTTTGTTGCAGTTTGGCTGGGGCCGGGTTTGAACCTGCCACCCTCAGTATATGGGGCGGCGCCCCACCCACTGAGCCACAGGCGCCACCCATCCTATCAGAGAAATTTAACAAAGAGTTCAAAATAATTTAAAACAAAAAAAGCAGAAATTCTAGACCTTAGGAATTCAATTAACAAATTGAGATTTGCATCAGGGTCTCTCAACAGCAGAATTGACCAAGCATAAGAGAGAACTAGTGAGCTTTAAGACAGGCTATTTGACAATAAACAGAAAAGAAAAAAGAGTAAGTAAGAATGATGGCTCAGCTCAACCAGCTAAGGCGCCAGCCACGCACACCTAAGGTGGCGGGTTCGAATCCCCAGCCCGGACCCGCCAAACAACAATGACGGCTGCAACCAAAAAATAGCCAGGCATTGTGGCAGGCGCCTGTGGTCCCAGCTACTTGGGAGGCGGAGGCAGGAGACTCGCTTGAGCCCAGGAGTTGGAGGTTGCTGTGAGCTGTAATGCCACGACACTCTACCCAGGGGGACAGCTTGAGGCTCTGTCTCAAAAAAAAAAAAAAAAGAGTAAGTGAGAATGAAGCAGTCCTACTAGATCTAAAAAATAGCTTCAAAAGAGCAAATCTAAGAGTTACTAGCCTTAAACAGGTAGAGAGAGATTAGAGAATTTATTCAAAGTAAGTAATAGTAAGACAATTTTCCAAACCTAGACAAAGATATCAATATTCAGGTACAAGGAGCTCGGAGAACACCAATCAGATTTAACCCAAACAAGGCTACCTCAAAACATTTAATAATCAAACTCTCAAAGGTCATGGGTAAAGAAAGGGTCTGAA